TCCGGCTGAGCCGACGACTCTATATCCGCTCGCCGTTGAGCCTCGACTCCGGCTGAGCCGACGTCTCTTTATCCGCTCGCCGTTGAGCCTCGACTCCACCTGAGCTGACGTCTCTATAATATCTTGCTGAGGTATCTTTCATTTCCTACATGTAAAAAGAGCCGAATCTCGAAAAATAGTTCGGTGCATAAAAATATGTGTCTTCCCCGCAAGAGGCAAGGCACAGAACCTACCATGGGGAGACACGATTAACGGACCCTCGATAAATCGGTCCTCGTTGCTAAGGCTAAACGTGTTTCATACCCTGAAGTTGGTATGACCTGGCCAAACGCGACACAGCCGGATACTTCCAAGCCCTGAAGATGGCTTGGGGAGGCTGATGCCCCTCGTGGCTAAATCCTGAAGTTGGTTTAGCGGGCTTACAATGATAACCGACATTAATAATGTTCTTTTGCCAAATCCTGAAGTTGATTTGGTGCGAATAATATTCCGGCAAGGCATAGCACCTACCGGCAAAAAAGTCAGACTCGACAAAACATCGAGGTAACATCATTTATCGTACAGTAATTATTCCCAGCACGTGCTCATTATATATCCATACATTCATACATACATTCATGCATACATTCATACATACATTCATCATATACGCGCGTCATACATACATCCTGACATGAATATTTCTTCTCCAAGCCCTGAAGTTGGTTTGGTAAGGCTATACGCCCAATCTTTTCCAAACCCTGAAGTTGGTTTGGCGAGGCTAACGCCTTTCTTAAAATCACATGAAACATCAGGAGCATTACCTGATCGTGCAATAATTCAATAAAAATCAGACCGAAGACCGGATAACGAATTATCCGACCAGGTCCACATTAATACAAAAAATAAAAAATCGCTTCGTCTCAATACGACATCAAAATCGCGAATCCCATAACAATATCATGGGGCCCAAGTACTCATGCAAAGCTATGTTATGATCATCATTACGGGCGCAAATCCAATAAAATGCGTCGTATTACACGCAAAACACGAAAAATTGGGTATCAAACTACCCGACTAAACCATTCAGGCCTCCATTTACATAGTAATCTCAAAAATTGACTATTCATACAGTCAACTCTGTTCGTTAGAACAAGTAATACAATTGACATTAATAAGTCAGGCCGAAACCTGAACACGAGCGATAAAGCGATTACGGGTCTCAAAGTACCCGGACGACGTTCATACGTCACAACATTCAGACATAGTATAAAGCATAAGTCAGCCAAAATTGACTATACATGCGACTTCAGAACAGTTCTATTTAGAACGTATTCTAAAGTCGGGGGCCTACTGTTGTTACCTAATTTTGGTCTCGCCTATTAAGATAGTCCACGTGGATATGTATATTAAATCATGTGGATATACATTAAATCAATTATTATATTTTATCTTATTATTAAGGCCCAAGAATAATACCGCTTGTAATAATATCGGGCCCAGTAAATATCTATATATATAAAAATCCCTGTGATGGATTAGGTCAGACTTTTGGTCTTCTGAGGGATTTCTCTCTTATCCCATACGAGGCACCGCCTCAGATTGGGTCTTGATCATCTTCATCATCCTAAAAATGGCAATTCAATTCCTTTTTAATTTTTCATTCAATATACAAAAAATCCTACCACAAAACCACTACAAAACTTCCTTTAATCCTATACCCCCTATTCACAAAAGGGGGGTGTACATTTTTGTTGTTACAAAATCGTATAACAACAGTGAATTATTCTGTCCTCAATAATTCTGATCGACACAACTCAATTTCACAATAATTCATTCTTTAATTATTGCCGACATCTCATATTGGATTTCTGCTGCATTAATTGCATACTGACTGCATGTTCTGACATTAGGAATATAATAATGCCAAACTCTATCTCCAGAAACTTACCTTCTACGCTTCGATCTTCTATAAACCGGCTCGCTAATCCTCCAGTCTTCTTCAGCAATGGTCCGAAACAACAAATGGATTCGACACTTTCAAATATTCGCAAATCATATTCCTTTCTTCCTTTAAATATCATAAAAAGGATTTATCGATCTCGAGTGGAAAGATTGAGAGTGCTAATAATCCATAATATTCCAAATGATATCCGATGGTTGATTGAAGCAAACGTCCGACTCTCTGGCGAATTTTCAAATTCTTATAAATATCTGTCCGGTATGGGTAGAAGTACTCTTGCAAAGAAACGTAGATCCAAACAAATAGGTGGCTGCTATAAATGTGCTCGATCGAATTGCGATACTCGATGCAAATCGCTGGGGTTTGTGTCCATAAATCGAGAAGATAAAATAGCTTTC